TGTAAAGTTGTTTTGTGATAGCAAAGCAGCCCTACAGATTGCTGCCAATCCTATCTATCATGAAAGGACTAAACACATAGAGATAGACTGTCATTTTGTGAGAGAAAAGCTCAAGAGTGGGTAGATTGCAGCAGAACACATATCAACAAAGAACAAGTTGCAGATATGATGACTAAAGCTTTAGGCACTGCACAACACCAGTTTCTTATGTCCAAGCTGGGAGTGTTGGATGTTTTCCACTCTCCAGCTTGAGGGGGAGTTTTGTGTTACTTAGTCTACTTAAGAGTTAGGGGACTAAAGTGTAATTTGTAAAAGTTAGAAGGCAAAAGGAATAAGAAAGATAGTTAGCATTGGTTAAATAAGGCCGGTCATTTGATGTAACAGTGATAACGAACATTTCAATTAAGAACTCAATCTTCATCTTCTTTCTCTCTTCCTCTCTCAACAATTCTCTGTGATTCCTTCAATCCAGCTGCTATAATACAGTAATTTGACACAAACTTATGTCATTCTTAATACAGGACAGGAAAATAGAAGCTCTTGGTACATAGCGCATATAATTGATGCACTATATGTAGCGAATTATTATAACTGCAAATATTAAATATAAAATATAATATATATATATATATATATATATATATATATATATATATATATATATATATATATATATATATATATATATATATATATAACATGTGCTATACTTTAACAGGATAACTGATCGTTAAAGTATAGCGCAAATTTTAAATGCGTTATATATATATTATAGTCTTCAATATATTTATTTTTACCTATTTTTATTTCTTGAGTCAAAATTTACGGTATTTCAGTTCCGGATTAGTATAGTAGGATAAGCATAAAGTATGAGGCATAGTCATATCCAAAAGACCAGAAAAGATTAGGTTGCACGCCTTACAAGAAAAACAGGAAATTTATTTGCTTACTCCATCTTGATATGCGTACACTTCTTGCCAACCTCTCGTAATAAAATATCTTTTGTATCTACTTATCTTAGCCATTTTTTGTTTCTGGAATTTCTCAAGATTATATACTTAATCATATTTTTATATGATTTATTTCTTTTTCTAATCTACTTAATAAAAATAAGATACTTTTATTTTTAAAATGGGTAATATTTTAGATGGTGAAGGCTTAGGAAAGAAACAAGAATAAGTTTGTTAAAAATTAAAACTTGCACTTTTAAAATACAATATATATCATATTCTTTCTTTTGGAAAAACTTAAGTAATCACCTTATGGATTTGTCCATACAAAATATTTCCTTTTTTTGATTTTTTTTTCAACAATATGTTTGTCAATAAAGTTTTGCAAGTTCTTCAAAAAAATTCGAAAATGAGTTTTTCAAATACAAAATTTTTGTTTTTTTATATCCACTCATAAAACTGCAACATTTTTCAAGTGAAATTCATTTTCAAATATAATTTTAAATTTAAATATTATTTTATAATTTAGCTTCAAAGATAAATTTTTTTCAAAAATTATAATTTTTATGTCCAAACGCCTACTTAGTTTTTCTTTCTTTTTGTCACTACAGAAGTGCGCTGACCATGACATGTTTGTTCCAATGTATAATTGAATCATTTAGTAAATATACAATTTTTTCTTTATTTGCCCAAAAATTAAAAAATATGAGGTATTGGTTTCAGGTGTAAAAGTCATCTTTATTAGAAAAATACTTTACCTCTATTCACTAAAGTCCAAAACACCAATCTTCCTTACATTTATTGTGCTATTATGTTCACCTTATGTGCGGCCAGTCGTCTCATGAGTTATCGTTCCATTTTTCCCATTTTTGCTTCTTTATGCTTTGTTTATTCGTGTTATGTGGTATCGGATTGGTCGGATCGAATCCGGAATGATTTTGGTAAGGTTTGAGACACATAGTCTCTTTTGAGGAAGCTTAAGTTGGAAAAGTCAACTGGATGTTGACTTATGTGTTAGAGGGCTCGGATGTGAGTTCAGATGGTTCGGTTAGCTTCGGGAGGTAATTTGGGACTTAGGAGTTTGATCGGAATGAATTTTGGAGGTTCGGAGTAGATTTAGGCTTGAATTGGCGAAGTTGATATTTTGGCGATTTCCGATTGGTAGGTGAGATTTTTGGTATAGGGGTCGGAATGGAATTCCGAGAGTTGCAGTAGCTTTGTTGTATCATTTGGGATGTGTGTGCAAAATTTCAAGTCATTCGGACGTGGTTTGATCGGGTTTTTGATCAAAAGCGGAATTCGGAAGATTTTTGAAAACTTAGGCTTGAATCCGATGTGTTTTAGGTGATTTGATGTTGTTTGAGGTGTTTTGAAGTTTGATACAAGTTTGAATGAGGTTTTGGGTTATGCTGGTGCTTTTGGTTGAGGTCCCTGGGGCCTCGGGTGAGTTTCGGGTGGTCAATCGGGCCATTTCATGAAGTTGGAACCTGCAAAAAATTGCAGGTCAGTGTTGCAGAAAAATGACCTTCGTGTTCGCGATGGGTCAGTTGAGGAAGTTGGAAATTTAGCCTTCGCGTTCGCGAGGAAGGCTCCGCGTTCGCGAAGGGCTGGGCGTCTGTGCATCGCGTTCGCGGGAGGGTAGTCGCGTAGAAGAAGTGGGCAGCTGAGCTTCAAGGGAATTTAATTCATCGCGTTCGCAGTAGGTGGAACGCGATCGCGAAGGTCTGTCTGAGTAAAGCATCCCGTTCGCGATGGAAAGGTCGCGATCGCGGAAGAGGAAAAATTGGTCAAGTTATTTTGTGCTTTGCGAATGCGAAGAAGGATTTCAGGTCTGGGCAAAATGTTTAAATGCTCGTCTTGTCCGCGAATGTGGGGTTTATTTCTTCCATTGTTGGTCATTTTTGGAGCTTTTTGAAGGAGATTGAAGAGGGATTCAAGGGGAATCACTTGGAGGTAAGATGCTTGGACTTAAAACTCGATTCTAATGTGAATTCCACCTAAATAATCATGGAAATTAAGCCAAAAATTGAAGAACTAGGGCTTGGAAAGTTAGACCTTTTATTGAGGATTTGAAGGACCATTTGAGGTCGGATTTCAGAACTTTTGATATGTATGAACTCGTGGGGAGATAAGGAATCTATTGATGAAAAAATTATCGAATTCCGAGACGTGGGCCTGGGGGTCGGGTTTTGGTAATTTCGGGATTTGTGTCATATATTGATCATTTTCACTTGGGCTTCGTTCCCTTAGCATATTTTTGACGTCCTCGTTCTGATTTTGGATAGATTCGACGCGAGTGGAGGCCGATTCGAGGGGCAAAGGCATCGCGAGCTAGAGATTTGACGGTTCGAGGTGAGTAATGATTGCAAATGATGTTCTGAGGGTATGAAACCCCGAATTTGCACATCGTGGTGCTATATTGAGGTGATGCACACGCTTGATAACGAGCGTGGGGTCGTGCACTGTTGGGGATTGTGACTTAGTCCATCCCGAATGACTATTTTACCGCGTATTTGACTGAAATCTATTTGCTATCATCATTATTTGGGCTGAATGCCATACTTGGGCCTCGTGCTAACTATTTGGACCCTTCGGGGATTTATATTGATATTTTCTCACTGTTTTGACTTTATGCTTGAACTCAGTCATGTTATTTTCCACTGTTTTCATACTCAGCCACGTTTACTCTATTTTAATACTTAAATGATCTTTTAAATGATAATTGGGATGAGAATCACTGTTTTGCTATTGTCCGAGTGGCTTGTGAGAATTTTTGACTGAGTAAGACCGAGGGCCTATGTTGTGAGGAAGCATTTATCATGATTTGAGGCCGAGGGCCTGAGATATGTACGCCACGAGGTGGCTTGATTGATATGAGGCCGAGAGCTTAGTGTTGATGTCATGAAGTGGCTTGATATTGCGCTTGGGCCGTAAGGGGCCCCTCCAGGAGTCTGCACACCCATTGTGATGTGAGATTGAGCCCGAGGGACTGGTATTGTTCTGAGATATTGCCCGAGGGGGGGTTTGTTGGTACTGTCCCCGGGGGTCGAACCTTTATGTGTTTATTTTCCTTAAATGCCTGTCAATTACTTGCTTAATTGTTGAAAAAGGTCTTTTCATGAAATTACATTTGAGTTAAAGGATTTTTACCTATCTTTTCACTGATTTACTGTTTTTAAATGGTTTTACTGCTTCATTATAGAATGCTTTGTGCCTTACGTGATTTCTTGCTTTCAGCCTTTATTTACATTTGTTATTTACTGAGTTGGAGTACTGACTTTACTCCCTGCATCCTTTGTGCAGATTCAGGCGCATCTGGTCCCGCTCCCGAGTGCTGATCCTTCCAGCTTCAGGCGGATCCGAGGAGTCTCTAGGTAGCTGTTGACGTTTGTAGCCCGGAGCTCTTCCCTATCTTATTTCTTCATGTTCTTAGTTTTCTGTATTAAACCTTGTAGTTTCCTCGAGTATTTTCGGATTGTTTAGATGCTCATGACTAGTGACACCCCGGTAGCGGGCTGTGTGGGGTTATTTTCCGCGAATTTTGCTATTATCTACTTAAACTATGGTTATTTAATCATGCTTTAGACTGTTTTTCTTGTTGTTTAACTGTTTAACACTGAATTGGGAATAGTTGGCTGGCCTTGTCTTCACGAGAGGCGCCATCACGACCGGGTCCGGGTTTAGGGTCGTGACACCTTTATTTATTTATTTATTTATTTATTTAGTAATTATTTTAACCTACCTATCACTAATGCAAAAACTTACAATCTGAATAAATTATTCACCCCTTACTGATATATACTTAATTAGTAATTGATTTTATGAGAATCTTCTTTTAAAGAATTATTAATTTTGAATAGAAGAAGTAACTTCTCTAGATAGCACATGATTTTAACATTACCGCATTTTCATAGCCGGTGGTTGTGCCATATATGGGAATTAATTGGGGACAAATGACAGTGATTGTTTTGTCAGAACAATTATTAAAAATAATTTAACTTAGTATAATTCCACTATAAATAATGACAAACACACCTTCCCACAGAACTAATACAGAAAGGATCCCTCCTTTAATTTCCCTACCTATTCCATTCTGTATCTTGTGATTTAGGAATTAGGAAAGAGATGTCAAAACAAGGAGCATTATTTGATTTGGCATCTGGGGTTGGTGGCAAAATTAACAAGGAGAAAGTTCTGTCTGCCGTTGACAAGTATGAGAAGTACCATGGTTATTATGGAGGTGAAGAAGAAGAGAGAAAGAATAACTACACTGACATGGTTAACAAATACTATGATCTTTCCACTAGCTTCTATGAATATGGCTGGGGAGAATCATTCCATTTTGCACCCAGGTTTGTTAATACTAAATATATCATAGTCTATTATATTTAAGTATTACTTTTATCTTGAGTCGGGAGGTCTAACGCATGCAGTATCTTTACCTTTACAATATAGGGGTAAGGTCTGCATACACTTTGTCCTTTCAGGCCCTGCTCTGCGGGATTACACTTCTATATATATATATATATATATATATATATATATATATATATATATATATATATATATATATATATATATGTTGTTGGTCCATTATATTCTGAAAAAAAGGTATTCTAGTATAGCGTTCACGCAAAGGGCCGCACCTATCTGACGAATTCCGCAGCTTGAACACGTGACTCGTAACCTAACTAAATGCAAGCATCGATGACTCATGCATAAGTGAATGAATATTAATTAGGTTTTGGTCACCCTTAATGTCAATGGTGGTAATCGGGATTAAAAAATAATTACCCATATATATTACTAAATTTGTTAAAAATGGATCAAATATGAATAAGATTTATATTATTCACTTAAAAATAGATAATCAATGAGTTTAACTTTTATATTTGTAAAAACTCAAATTGGGAGTTTCTCAAAGTTTGGGAGACTAAGAATTCTCCTAAAAATAGTCATATTCAAGAAACCATACAGGGGCAGATTTATGCGGTACTAAGAGGGTTTAAATGAACTCGCTTTATCTATAAATAATATTGTGTATATGTATAAATTACAACTAAAGCTATGTAAATTATATGTATAAAAAATATATTTCAACCCACTTGACAAAATCTTTGCTCTTGCGAAAGTGGTCAAGCGGGTTCATGAGATTGGTTCGGTTTTGTGATCGAATCTTTTCATCTTATCTGCCTATTTTATTTTTTAGTTTGTATAAATTGCAACAAGAGTCACAAAAGAAAAGAAAAACCATAATGATAGCAGCATAGCTGGATATAATTGTCTTTGCAATCAAAGCAAATTATTTTCCTTGTATGTATTAATTTAGTTTATGTTGGAATTTTTTCGTTCTTTTTCTTTTTGGTTTTTGTGTGTATAAGCTCTCTTTCTTTGATTATTGGTGTTAATTTAGTTTAACTTGTAACTCTTTTCTTATTGTTTCTTCTTTAGCAAATAATAACTTGTTACCTAATAAATGCTAGTAATTTTTTTAATAATAAATCAAATTTCTTTGTGTTAATAAATTCTAAAATTGGTCAAGATTTTTTTGGTTAAAGTTTAATAAATTAGCTAAAGTTAGATTTTTAAAATTAGAATAAGAAAAATTTTGTTTAAAATATAGAGCACCGACTTTAAAAGGATTTTATTACGACATCACATTGTGAGCAATAAAGACAAAAAAACTTACTCCTCGTGCCTTATGCCACGTATATTAGTCATGGACTTCTACGATTGAATCTACTTGCACAAAATTCTGAGTCCGCCACTGTATGGATATCCATATTATACGTCGGTTAACTCGTTTTCTATCCGTATTAAATATGGGTCATGTTGGATATTTTATCTGTTTTTGCGTTATATATCCGACCTTATCCACCTGTTTGCCTCCCCTATTTATTGTTATTATACTCGTACACTCACAGAAGGGGAGCCTTGGCGTAACTGGTAAAGTTGCTGCCATGTGATCAGGAGGCCACAGGTTCAAGTCGTAGAAACAGCCTCTTGCAGAAATGCAGGGTAAGGCTGCGTACAATAGATCCTTGTGGTCCGACCCTTCTCCGGACCCCGTGCATAGCGGGAGCTTAGTGCACCGGAGTGCTTTTTTTATACTCGTGCACTCACACTTGGTCTGCATGCATGCGCAGGTGGAAAGGAGAATCACTCCAAGAGAGCATTAAAAGGAATGAGCACTTCCTTGCCTTGCAACTAGGATTGAGACCAGGACAAAAGGTGTTGGACGTAGGATGTGGAATTGGTGGACCATTAAGAGAAATAGCTCGATTCAGCTCTACATCAATTACAGGACTCAACAACAATGAATATCAGATAACTAGGGGACAGGAGTTGAACAACAAACTTGGTTTAACATTGAATCAGACTTGCAACTTTGTAAAAGGCGATTTCATGAAAATGTCGTTTCCTGACAATAGTTTTGATGCAGTATACGCAATAGCAGCAACTTGCCATGCACCAGATCCAGTTGAATGTTATAAAGAAATTTATAGAGTGTTGAAACCTGGTCAGTGTTTTGCTGTATACGAATGGTGCATGACGGATTCTTACGATACAAATAACGAAGAACACGAAAAGATCAAGGCAGAAATTGAGCTCGGAAATGGTCTACCTGAGATTAGGTTGACAACACAGTGTCTTGAAGCAGCTAAACAAGCTGGTTTCCAAGTTGTATGGGACAAGGATCTTGCCGAGGATTCGCCTGTTCCGTGGTACTTTCCTTTAGATACGAGTCACTTCTCGTTCAGTAGCTTCCCTCTAACAGCACTTGGACGACTTTTGACTAGAAATCTGGTCTCCGCACTTGAATTCGTGGGACTGGCTCCGAAAGGTAGTCAAAGGGTTCAAGGTTTCTTAGAGAAAGCTGCACAAGGTCTTGTTGGTGGTGCAAAGAAAGGAATATTTACACCATTGTATTTCTTCTTGGTTCGCAAGCCCATTTCAGACCTCCAGTAATTTGGAGTTTAATTTATAGTCAGTTTGCTTTATATTTACTTGTGTTGCTTGTATGAAACATTTATATTTCAAGTCTTGCTATTTTTGCCATTGAAAAATGTCCCTGTTCTTTTGAGATATATGCCACATGAGACAAGCTGATAAAGGCGGATAATTTGCTTATACAATCAAACCTCTCTATAATCGGGGCAGAGCTAGAACACGACCTACGGGTTCGGCAAACTCAGTAGGTTTTATTCAAATAATGTATTTGTCTTAAAAAATTCATCGAATATGTATAAATTATTAATTTAGAACCCACTAGCTTAAACAATTTAAATTCCTGAACTCATAAACTTCAAATCGTGGCTCCACCTTTGTCTATAACAGTCTCGTTTGTTCCGGTATTTTTTTGGTTGCTAGTGAAGTGGTGCTATGGATAGCATATATATAACATAGCATGAAAAATTAGTTCCAAATAATTCCCGTATTTTTTAGGTTGCTAGTGCAATGCTGCTATTGATAACATATATTATAACATAGCATGAAAAATTAGTTCCAAATAAAACTTGATTGTTATAGTGAATAACTGTTATAAAGATGTCTGAGGTGTTTCATGCTAAACAAACATTATGTTTTTGACTAATCAAAAAAGAAGATACTATCTTTTGTTCTTTGCTGATATAAAGAAAATGACGACATTCTCCCTCCGCACCCAACCCCCCCACCACCAACCCTCCCTCCTCCTCCTTAAAGCTTGTTTGGATGGTTGTTAGCTATTGTATTGTATTGTATTGTTACTTTAAATACGATGTTTGTTTTGATTATTGCTACTTAAATTTTATTGTATTGTACCGTTAAATCCGTCGATACATAACGACGAAATGTGCCACTTTATGTAACGACCGATTTGGAGTGGTCGCGTCGTTACCTTATCTTTTTCTCTCAATCTCACCCTTCATTATAATTAAATAATTTATTTTATCATTTATCATATATTTTCATATAACAATTTTATCCTGTATCATAATCTTTGTTTATAATAATGCAAGTTTATTCTTCATAGTTGGTGTGTGATATCATGAAACGACGTCAAATGATATAATATATCCAAACATTGTATTCATCAAACAATACAATACAGTACAATGCAATACAATATGGTACATTATGAAACAATATATAACAACCATCCAAACAACTTGTTAGGGTGTTTGGCTAAGCTCATAAGTTGGTAAAAATAATTTATAAACACTTTTATAAGCATAAAATAATTCAAAAGTTAAAAGTTGGTCATCCCTGGCTTATAGATTTTGAACTTATAATTACTTTTGGTTTGACCAACAATTTTATTATTTTATCCCTTTTTATTTACTTCCTAAAACATTATTTCTAGAAAAAATTCGAAGGCCCTTACCCTCTCCATCTCTATGATTCATTCTGTCATTCAGAGGCGGATCCAAGATTTGGAAGTTGGATGCAGTGCTACAAAAAGGTATATCCAGCATATAAATTTTATGGGTTTAACCTTTAATTTTTACTACTACACCTATTATATTTTTAAAATTTTAAGTTCAAAATTAATTTTTTAAAATAGTAATTTCCTTACATCTATATCTATACTCTGTATAAAAAATGTTGGGGTCAGTTAAACCAATTGACGATATGCTACATCACCCATTGCTACTAGCTTTAATATACACATTTTATTTAATCATGTAAGAATTTACGGTGATAAAAGAAAAATAGGAATTCAATGTGTGAAGATTTTAAAAGAGTAAACCAAACAAAGAAAGAAATAAAAAGTACTTAATTAATTCGGAAAAAGTGACACCAGATGTGGGCATCTTGTTCTAAAAAAAGGAAAAAAAATAATAAGATTGACATAAGATTTGAACTCATCATCTCAGTACATATACATGTGCACTCAATAACCATTGCATCATATGATACTTTGAGTTTGGGTGCACACACACATATTTAATATTTGGCAAAATACATAACTTATCCCTGAACTACGGACTAAATCTCTGACACACATTTTCGAACAAAATCATCTTGCACGCCCAACCTTTCAGGGTGTGCCTAAGACACACTACTTTTATTACGTGACAGACGCGTGCATAACCAAAAAAATAAAGAGCGTGAACACTTAAAAACAAAAAATTCAATCCTTGTTTAAGTGCAACGTGTAAAAAATATAATTATTTTCTTTATTTCTTAAATTATTTGGCCCCCAGAACCCCACCCCTCGCTTCTCTTCTTCTTCCCCATATGTTGTCCCGCTTTTCCAGAAAGGTTGAGCGTGCAAGGTAATTTTTGTCCGTAAAAATTGTGTAACAGGGATTTGGTCTATAGTTCAAGGAGTAACTTATGCATTTTGCCTTAATATTTTTTAAAAGATATAACATTATTATATATGATCCAAGGAGGAAAGCATGGGTTCACTTGTCCCATAAAAGTGATGGAACCCTGGATACGCCCCTGCCGTCACTTACTTCTTCTTGGCATCATTTTGGGTGAGAAAACTCACCTACATTTTGTTAAATTCTTTATGAAGTACTTGGTAGTTCCTAATTCTTTAACTATTATAAGTTTATGACCAATATGTATACGGGTGGAACCGGGCCCATGAGACGCTCCGGTTTCCAATAAGGTAAATCGAGCAAGAGGCGTGATGATAAGGAATCGGAATCAAGGCAAGGGCCTCATCGAGCCAGGGTCCAGGGGCACAACACCCACCCTCGAGAATACTGGGGCCATGATTTCGGGATCGGTCCAAATCCCAAAAGACTTCAGAGAACGTTGTCGGGCAACTGAGCATGATTTACAGAAGGCCGTGATATTCGTGACCAGCCGGGTATCACGGCGTGGATCTCGGCACATACCGGCGGAAATTCACTGATTAGTTAAATGGAAGATTTTTACCTTTTACAGAATTGTACCTACGATAGGACTCCCCTACTATATAAAGGGGAGTCTAATTATTCATTAGGTACACTGTAACACGCTGTGAGCACGTGATTTTTGCCCTACATGAATTACTCCCATAATTTCAAAACAAAATAATTTCTTTTCACTATTTGCAATTTTGTGGATTTTTGTAGCATTTCTTTAATTGTTTGCATTTTTGTCTGTGCATTTTAACTAAAGAAAAAATATAAAATATATGTGCATTTGCATTTAGGGTCATATTTTATATTTTTAGGTTAATTAATTAATCAATTGTGGTAAAATATGAAAGAAAATAACAAAAATAGTTTTTTTTGCATTTTGGCCTTTTAATTTTCGAATTTTATAGTTTTCTTTTAATTTAGGACATAGTTAATTTGGAGAATGCAATTAGTTATTAATTTTGTTTTAGGGTTAAATTAGGTTTTTATTTTGTATTTAACAAATCTGAAAAATGGAAAAAAAAAGAAGAGAAAAAGAAAAGGAAAATGAAAAGAAATGGTGGTCTTTGATAAAAATCCAATTGTTTGGGCCAGGTCTTATAAAATTCCGCCCACCCCAAGTCATTTTCCCCCATACCCATTAAAAATCGGCCCATACCCGTTCCAGAAACCCGGTCCAGCACCCCTTGACCTTAAACGACACCGTTTGGATAAGTCATTTGATCTGGGCCGTCGAGATAAGGAGATCCAACGGCCCTGAAGCTAGGGTCCCTTAAGATATAAGTGTCCAAACACCCCCCTACCCCTCTCACTCGTCTCTCATCCTTCCCCTGTAACGCCGCCGCCAGCCGCCGTCGGAAATCGCCCCACGGCGGCTGCAAGTCTCCGATGACCCTCAAATTTACACGGCAGCTCCGTCTCCCCTCCCTCATGCCCATACCACACTCCGTTCCCCTCAAATCCCATTGGAACGTGTTAAACCTTCCAAACCCTAGGGCGCCGCCCTCAAATCCTCCGCCACAGCCGGCGGCGCCGACCCCAAATCCTACCAAAATGACACCATGTAATCACCGCAACCCCCTTGTCCCTAATCTATGGTCAGTGGCTCTCAATTCAGCTTCAAGCTGTTCGAATTTTGGATCTGATTTTGACTTCCAGAGTTCGAGACCTTTTTTTTAAGCCTATCAACATGCATGACCTTGGGGGTTCGTTTGCTTCTCGAGCTTTGAAGTCCGTACTTGGCAAACTAATATTGTTCAATTGTTCTTCATAAAGAATGAGGGACCAATATTAGTTTGGTCATGTCCCTGGTCTCCATTGGTTCTTAAGTCAAAACCAGTAAGATTCCTCTTATTTCTCCACATTTTTCATTTATCCTTTTGCTTCATCTAGTTTTTTCTGTTCTATTTCTATATTTTAAATTCATTTCCCCCCCCCCCTCGCTCTAAGGCAGTGTGTGGTATATATGTGTGTGTGTTTGTTCCTTTCCATCTTTCCAATTTTTCATTCTCTTAGTCATATTTCCTATCTTTATATGATTTTTATCTTAAGCTATGATATTTCTGATAATTACTTTAGGTAGTTTGGTGTCGAATCGTTAGTTTAATTTTAATATCAATCTAGCATGTTAATTTGATATGTGTTTTGGAATTACTCAACTGTTTCCATTTTTTGCTTATTATTAATTGGCTTGTTTTGCAATTCCTGCTGGTTTAAGTTTTGGATTGGGAATTACTGCATTGTTTTGGGTTTCTGATCATTTTAAAAGCCCAAAAGAAAGGAAATTCAGTCTGGTTTGGGGTTGGGCTTTGGGTCAGTCCTGACCCATGTAGTTTGACCAATGTAAATTTCAGGGGTGTGAGGGGTAATTTGGGTAGTCTAGATTAGGGAATCTTTGATAACAGAAATAGGAAGCTTCTAGTAGGGGTCTGTAATTGAATTTCAGACTTTAGCTTGGGTAACAAGTCAGTAAATGAGGGATCAAGTAGCAAAAATAGAAATTAGAAAGGGACTAGAATTGAAACAAAAAATCTGATATGTTGCCCTAGTCCCTTGCCTACAAAGGCAACCCAAACTTGCTTTGCAAGGCAAAAAAAAAAAGAGACGCAAGAGAGCGAACAGACCGAAGAGACCTAAGAGGTAGAGAGTAGAAAATTTCTGAAAAGGTTAAGAATTTCATAAAATTTCACTGTTTCACTGAGTGTTCTTTGTGATTTCTTAGCTTTCTAATTCCTGAAATGAATGCTGGTTTATTTGAGAGCTGAAAATGGTTTG